CTCCTTTCCACATTCATACTGAATGTGTCAGTTGTGATCACTGGAAACAGCACACAAAGTTTCACGCATGAAGATTCGGTTTCTGAAGAGCAACAAACGTACAAAAACTACACGCTATGGACAATCGAAATTAATTAGGGCGGAGCCAAAGGCGGGGCATGGAAAGAAGTCCGTTTTGGGGCGGCTACGTACCAGGCAACGCAATGAAAGAATCGGGTTGAAGCGCGCGATTTCGGAGAGTGGAGACAAATCGATCGATAGGATAGGATGGAGTAGAAGCGTGATATGTGAATGCAATAGGTCAATAGACTAGAAAGAGTTTCTAGCGAAGGCACTTCAAAAACTAGGTGGTAGCGTTCCCGTCGCCAGCATTTGTGACAGATGTGCGGCGGAGCTTTGAAGGCGTGGCAACCCTCTCAATTGTTCAATTTTTTTACCAAAAAATGCAATTTTTCTATATGAGTCTCAAGCCAGTAATTTATGATTGAAATAGAATCATGATTTTTCCGTGAAGGATTCCTTCAAAGCCAGGATCGGGATTAGGTGTAAAGAAGAGTGAGCAATAGGGGTCCCCGAGCGCAGAAGACGCAATCACGAGCAGCTTCCCGTTGCGCAAAGATTATCGAAGGAGTCGTATTTGGCCAATGAAAGGAGATGGGAGGATGTCGCAAATACGGTAGCGGTCACAAAATTTGAAGGAACCAAGGCATGGCAAAGTGCTAAAGGAGGGCAGGCTTTGAACTGTCACTGCTACAATCACCGCAGACGATGGAGTGGCGCATCCCAGTCCAGGAGTTCTTTATAATTCAATTCATGTTCCAGTGAGCAATAGCTAACAGATTCTCTCAGAGGAAGTTAATGGTTTCAGACCAAACCAAAGTAGGAAAGTTAGGCGGATTGGTTCCTGGAGTCTTGATAGAAAATACCGGTAGAATAGAGCTTTTCCTTTCAATTCCTGCTCTCCTACGAGCTACGAGATCCACCCAAACTCTGGCCTCTGCTAGTCTTTATATGTTCCACAATTCATGATTTTTGGGTAGAATCGGATGCAGAATCTGTCGTGATCATGCCTTTAGGTTCTTGTTTGTGCTTCCATCGCTGCACAGCAGTACAAATAGGCGAATCTGATGATGGTAGCATAGGAAGAAATAGGTATAGTAATAGTCATCTGAGGGAATGCGAGGTTTTCGCATAAATTTACGCCTGAAAACCCGGATTTTGACAGAAATGGTCCTTCCAAGCTCAGTTGATGACTTCAGAGCGCATCGAAACTTTTAATAGCATTTCGCGCGACAGGAAGGAATCAAAATCGATCACAACAAGATTGAGAGATAGGAATGGAATGAAAGAAGGTGCGTTCGGAGCGCAGGAGAGTATTGAGTACTTCAAAATGAACTTACAATGGGAACTCGTCCTTGTCACCGTTGAGACCATTCATAGTGAAGGCTCGGTTCACCTCTGTCCAACCACGACCGGGTTTATTTCCAGCATCGGAGCGAACAGAGCTACTGTCGTTTCTCTGAAAACGAATCTCAGCGATAAATATCTAGCACGACTGGAAAGAGGCTGTGTCCGCGAGCGCTCTTTAACCCCACTTCAATAACATTTCCTGAAGTTAAGCTGGTAAGCTGTTACAGGAACTGAATAATATTTCACGGAAAAATAATATTGAAGAAGAAAAGGGTATGTTGGAGCCCGAAATGGTATAGCCTCGTAAGGTCAGCAGTACATCATCCTGTGAAGCCTAGAAGTGAGAAATGAGCTGAGAAAGAAAGAAAGGCAAATCACTGAGCGGTCAGACTTCCCATTTCAGAATGGATAAAGCTCATTTGATTATGTGGGATCTGAAGGACATTTCACGGTACTTGGCCTCGTGGATTCGCCCAAGTTCACCTACTTCGACAATGGGAGATGAAATCAATGAGCGCGGCTGTCAGCATTTGTTACCATGGTAATCGCCTCAAAAGACTTCAGCTACCCACGGCTTCACCCTGTGAGCATTTTTGAGTCAGCCATGAGCTTCTGAAAATGACAAAGTTTGCGGACTGCTGTCCAATCTCAAGTTTTCCCTAGGCATCCCGCTTCCTGGAGAAGGGGTATCGCCGACCTGCCCATTGGGTGGGAGGGACACTGCAATGAGTAACATTAGTGATTATACTGCCGAGCAAAAACCATTGTATGCTGGACAGAGAGTAAAGCAGGAAAGGTGCCAATAGGCTCAAAACTAAAGCCTCCTCTCCCCGCACCTGAATGTCGCTAGAAGGCCGTGAAAATCTCAGTTAAAGGAAGCGATTACGATAGATCTCAAAGGGGTTTAGAGGGGACGTGGGGGTCTCAATAGTACGCCAATGGCGAAAAAAGCAAAGAAATCCGTCAAAAATAAGCAAAATAGTACCCCTTTGATTGCCCTTTCATTTTCGACCATGGATGAGCGACGGTAAAGAACGACGTTGTTCGGACGTGTTAACCCCGATAGCCGCCATCATGCCAACAAGCATAGTGTTTTGATTGATAAGGCAATACGTGGGCAAGTTGGAAGATACAGCCGCTAGAAGGGAAATGATCATCCAAAATGAAAAGCCAACAGCAAACAGTCCATCCAGATCATCAACAAAACTAGTGGGCGTCACGTCACTGGGGGCGGGGCGTCACGCGGGTCCTGCTCAGCAACCACAGCACCTTTCGCCGTGGGAGGCCACACATCGCTTCCTTGGCAGCCAAGTAATTGCTCCGTGTGGCGCAGGTTCTCCCCCGATGCGAATCCTTATCGTAATCGCTTCCTTTACGGAAGGTTATAACGTTGGGAACTTGGAGGATGCTGTGGGTTTCTGTGGATTTTCTCTGAAATTTCATTTGTCCACATAATAATAGAAAGAAATTCTTGTAAAAGGCCACGGCAACTTCAGTAACCTTTGGTAAGTAACAAATGTGTTGACTCAAAATCATCTGTATTTTTCCAAGCCGTGAAATTAGAAGGAAGTTGGGTGCTTCTCCTCCCTTGCCTAGTGATAAAAATACAACGTGCTCATCGTCAGCATGCGCTACTCACATGCACTGTCTCAGGAACCGAAGGGGAAGGGTCTCGACCTACGACCCTCTTTCTAAGCGTTTCTGCGAGCTTGGTTCAAGGAGTGGAGCGAGTCTTACTGATCGTGATTGCGCACCAGGCTAATCATAAGGCTGAACTTGGAGTTTGGTGTTCTTCATTACTAGAGATGAGAAAAGGAGCGCGTAACAACACGTTAGCGACTCGTTTGAAGTGTACTTTCGATAAATACCGGTGTAGTGTGAACTCCACTGGTGTTCTGAGATTTGGGCCAGCAATGGCTCAGAAATTGTCTGAACCTTTGTAATGGATATTTTCGCAAAGGGAGTAGCTTCAATGATGTATGAACAGGAACGAAAAATTAGACAGGATGTGACGTTTCCCTATCAAAAGTGCTCTTGAACGGAGCCATCTACATACTATCGTGTCCTGGTGTTATTGCAAGATAGGGGAGCATTGTGATGGCAATGCATTTAAAACCGCTCGGAACATGTCCTTCTTATTTGAAACGAGAAGAGCCATAGGCGGAGGAGGTGAGACTCCAGTGTGCGTGAACCATTCTGATTTCCCCCAGGGTTCAGGAACCCTATGTTGGGACAAGCACCAACGGGGGGGGTCGTTTGGCTTGGGTTTTAAGGAGGGGGGTCGTATTCTCTCGGTGACCGGCAGTGGGACGCTTGGTAATATCCTTATTGACCACTGATGGTGGTAGGGATAGACGCAGCCATGAAGAGGAAGACTTGCAGAAACAGCAGCACTATACTATAGCATCTATAAACCCACGCTTCCTTCTAAATGAGCTTTCAAATGAATCAGCGAATCAGAAGCGCGGCCGAGGCGTGGCGCACACCAAGGCAGGGATGCCAGTGCAAGCGCATGCTCGAAGCTTTCTAACACATCCTATGTTCAACATGAAATTGCTTTCCC